TTATGGTTTAGGCCTTAGGGCTGGGGTTCAGGGCTTAGGGGTAGGGTTCAGGGCGTAGGGCTTAGGTTTCAGGACTTAGGGTTTAGGGTTCAGGGCGTAGGGTTTAGGGTTCAGGGCGTAGGGCGTAGGGTTTAGGGTTTAGGGCGTAGGGTTTAGGGTTTCGGGGTAGTGCCCTTTGATTTCGGGCTGTTCCGTGTAGTCCTAATCCCGAAACCCTAAACCATTCCCCCCAAGAATGTCCCAACTGCAAGTCCTAATGTACTTTTTTGAACAGTTCCAGGATCGTCCCAACACATTACCAAGTCCCTTTTGAAGAAACCTGGGGTCGGGTCTAGGAGGGGCCCCCTAGTTACATAACTACATTTATAAGTCCTGTAACTACAATGTTTGGAACTTATAGCCATAGTTATCCAAACTTATAACCCAACTTATAACTAGGGGGCCCCTCCCTGTAGGGTTTGGGGTTTAGGGTACCTGTCCTTGAAGGGTTCTTATTAAGGAGCTATTTTAATTCCTATTGACCACTGACTTCATAACCGCCTAAATCTTTAGGAGACCTAGGTGGACGACTGGAGGCTCTGGCGCCAGGACATGTTCCAGTTGAAGGACACTTCTTATGAGCATCGGCCCTATTTTTGCCCACGGTTCGACTTGGCCGATGACCTGGACTACCGGTATAACAGGGAGTGGGGGGCAGAATGTGCTCTAACCCACTACGTGGACATCCCAAGGATGCAAGATCATCTGAGGGCTATGCACATGAGAACCCTGGAGTTCAAGGAGCTAGTTCCCATGGTATCCAGGTCATTGTTGGAATGGAGTTCACCTTTCTTGAATTTATGGTTTAGGGTTTAGGGTTTAGGTTGAAGGGTTTAGGGTTTAGGGTTGTTGCAGGAAGCTAGGATGTGGATACTTTTTTTCATCACATCTACGCCTTAGATCTGCAAGCATGAGCAGGTCAAGCCTTTCACGCTCATGCAGCGGTTGCTTCCTGGACAAGAAGCCCAGCTTTGTGATTCAGGGTTTAGGGGAGGATTTGCAGCAGGAGTAGTCCGAAGTGGTGCGAGGAGGAATCGTACGACTAGAAGAGGGGGTAGTGGTAGTAGGTAGTAACTAAGCATGTTGGCTGTAGGTGGGCTTGGTTATTTTTGTGAATACGGGGGCGGGGTGGGGGGTGGGGAGTGGGCGACTAGTCCCTACCACAACCAGAATCCCTATACCATAACCAGACGGTCTGTACTGCAACCAGATGTTGATTTCAGGAAAACCAAGAAGGTCCCTATCA